GCTGCGGGGGGGAGAGTGAGGAACAGATGCTTGAGAAGGAAATGGTGACCCGCTCTGCTCAGCTCCGCTCTGCTAGCGGCTCTTCGGCTGGCCGCTAAATCGGCGTCTGAAAACCTTGAAGCATCATACTGATGTGAATGGTGGCTGAGGAACACCGCCCGCTGCGCTGCTCTGCCCGCTGCCTCCGCAGTCCTTCTGTCTCTCGACTTGGATTTCTTTAGTTTTCATTAACCCAAGCACTGGTGAGCCAGCTTAGCCCCGACAGATGATCTGAATCTGATGGCACAGCGTGTTCTGTAGGCACAGCCTTCTGTTTCTTTTTAAGGAGTTGTATTTGAACGGCTGCAGAGGGATGGAACAAGAGTGTGGCTGACCCTGCGGTGTCTGCTGGAAGGTGTTAGGAAACGCCTGAGCCCAGAGGACTGGGAGAAACGCATCCTTCGGAAAAGACCATTTGTTACAGAATATAACTTCAGCTTTGAAATGCAGCCCTGAATTCTGGTTGATTTGTTTTCTAAGTAGAGACCTCCTGAGATAGTGGGAGTGGGTATTAATGACGTTTGTGGATCAGAGAGAGCCAAGAAAAATCTTTAAACTTGAGTGGAAGCAAGTGAAATAATAAAGGCTGCACACACGGTGCCTGACCTGTCCTGTCACAGCAGAGCCTGATTTCCTCTCCAGCTGTTAAAAGGAAGCAGAGGCACAAGACTGTGCCAGAATTTGGTCGAGGTGGAAGTCTTTAGGAGTAACAACAGAGACAGGCTATGGGAAAGGTGATTCTTTTTCCCACAAACAAACCAGTGTTGAACAGAAGACAATTTAAATAGTAACTTTCTTCAGATTTGTAAGCAGTGATTTGTCTCAGTGAAACAGCTCTCTAGTAGAGGTTGTGATAGGTAATCTTGTAGCTATTTTTTTTTTAATTTGAGCAAGTTTTTCAAAGAAATCTTGAAACAGGTGTTTTGGCAAAGAAGCCTCGATGCCTTGGGAATTTACCAGAATACAAATAAGCTGGAGATGTTAAATAACTTTTCCTTGTCTAGCTGGCGTGCATCCCTTACCTGTGGTGATGGGGGTTTTGTGTGTAGAGCGTTGCTCAGGAAATGGCAGTGGTTGGCTTGGTGCAGTTTGAAAGTTGCATTTGCAGTGGCAGATAACCTGCCTAGCTGCTTGTGAAATGATCATTTCCTTCCCCATCTTCAGTGTGATGACTAATGTGTTATCTGGACACTTCTTCTGAATGCTTGGAGTTAGTGACATAGAAGCATGTGGGTGGAAAATATTTGCTTTTTGATTAAAATGTCTGACGTGCTTTCTGTGTGTGTGAATCCCAACAGATCAGTTAATATTTCAGGGGTAAAAATAAGCAGTGACTCTTGGTTACTGTCAGTGTACTTCTGAAACACCAACAGCACCTCCTGTTATTTTAAATTGCTTCACCCAATTTATTCCCACTCTAAGGGGCTTACTTATTTCAGGACCTGGCAAATGAACTGTTAAATTTTGTTGACTTCTAAGAGCTAGAATAATAATCCCACATTGGGAATAGCTAATAAAATATTTCTAGTTAACTGTGTGGCTTTGAGGAGGGAAGTTAAACCGGATAAGTGCCCTGTCATTGTGTTCTTGTGCTTCCACTCATGGTTTTTCTGGTTTTTGTGTGTTTTCTGAAACACTGGGCAAGTCACACTCAGTTCCACTCTTGCAGGGTTTAAGTGCATGTCTGTGTGACATGGGAAACTTATTCTGGTTTTACTAGAAAGATTTATCTCTCCCTCCCCTCTGCCTTTTCCTTTTTGTAGAGCGAGTCTCTGGTGGTTTGTGATGTTGCTGAAGACCTGGTGGAGAAACTGAGAAAATTCCGGTTTCGTAAAGAGACCAACAATGCTGCCATTATAAGTGAGTTACAAACGTGTCTTGACAAAAATTGCAAGGTCTTGCAGAAAATCCTACTTCCACTTTTCCTTCCCGTGTCATGTTGCTGCTGTAACAGGTCAGTGGGAGCCAAGAGGCTGTTTCTGGTGTGAACTTCAGTTCTGCCACTTCTGCCTGTTGTTGTAACAGTAAAGCAGCACTGTTCTTATGATACAACACTGCATCTCCTCTTAGTAGAGTCTTGATACTTCATGGAGGCTCAGAGTCTTCCACCGTCTGTAAAATGATAGTAAAAAATGTCAAAGCACAGTCGTTTTGAGTTTTTTAAACTTCTAGTAGGGGAGTTTGACATTTCTGCCTGAAACTGGGGAGGAGTGTATTGCAATGAACTGTGCACTTCTTGACCTGAGTGGATCTGTGAAGTCCTGGGATAGGCTCAAGAAGCAGAATGGGGACACAGGGGATATTCTTGAGGGGGAACGCTGAAAAGCTTCACCCATACATTGTATAAATCTATTGAAAAAACATTGACCTGTATTTTATTTTGATTTCTAGTGAAAATCGACAAGGATAAGCAGTTGGTGGTGCTGGATGAGGAGCATGAGGTTTGTTAAATGAATTGTAAATAAGAGTATCTTCAGCCTGCAATGTATTGTTGTCTCTAAGGTACTGCCTTAGTTTCAAATTGTTATCAAATCTTAATCTAATTTGGGTCATGAGCTTATTTAAATGCATGGTCACTCTGCATGTAAAGAACAGCACTATTAATAGTGGAACTATGCCAAAGCAATTGAGTTGACTAATTAATTGCACAAAAAAAGTTACTTTAAAACTGTTAGAGCTACATAAAAAGCATCTTTGGCACCTGCTGGCTTTTTCTGAGAGATTTCTGCTGTGTTTCCACCTAGATGGGCGTATGTGCCTCTGAGCTGATCTGCCATCAGTCAGAAAATGGGATTGCTAATCCTCTGCAGACTCTAAATTTGATAGGTGGCATAATAAGGTCAGCTCAGCATGTAGCGTTTCTTAATGGCACATGGGGCAAAATTAAACCCTTCCCAGGGATTTGAGCATTGACTGTCACTCCTATGCCTTAGACTTTCATGTAATATTTGTATAGATTGGGGACTCCTTGCTTGCTTGAGGAGGAAGGACCAAGTTTTTCAAAAGCACCATTTATGCAGCTGATTTTAAGTGATGCTTTTTGGTGTGTGCTCTCTTAATTCTGTGTGGCACCGGAGTCAGAAAAGCATGGTGGCTGCCACCACATCCAGCTAGAGCCAGAAGCATTTCTAAACTCATTATGCCTAAAATAAGGATGATTATTCATGCTAATATTAATTCTATGTTTAGTCACAGGAATCTATGAGCAGCCAAGTTTTCCTAAACTGCTCCAGTAATTAGAGAGCTGGCTATTGGTTCAGCTGCAGAT